CAAACAGAAGAGCTCTAGGCCTTTCCCTACCAGCTTAAACACACACGGCCCTCACTGCCAAAGAGCACCACTGCATTGTGAAAGCAGAAAGCTTCAGAAAAGGGCTCATTGTTATTTACTGTGGCTTGCCAGTTCTGTTCCAAGTAGCGGGGACACATGGTAACATAAATGCCGGTCTTTAAGAAGAAGCAGATCAATACAAAAACAGGTTTCCTGTAGGTGTGAGAGGAAGAAAAGCAAAAAACATTTTTATTTCTTCCTCCACCTCCAGATCCTCCAGCAGCCAGTTTTGGTCTCATTAAGTATTTCTTCTCTGTCAGAAATCCTTCTTATCCCAGTCTGTTCTCTGCTCTTTTATCTGGATCACCAACAAACATCACCTTTGACCTGCTGCTTGTCCTGTTCTTTCTCTCCTCCCTGACTTCTCACCCTCTGAGGCTGGGCTTCAGCCCAGGCTCCCAGACCCACCACCCAGGATGGCCGGGCTTCCTTCATGGCGCACCCTAAGCCGCTAGCACTTGGATTACTAGACACCTCATGTTGCAGGTTACCCCGTGAAATCCTCTCCTGCCTTTTATTCTGGCTGTGTGATTCAGTCCTCCTTCTCTTTTCCTTTTATTCGGTTTCCTCTACTGTCCCACCTAAAGGTAGGCAGTTTCTGAAGTTCTGTCTGTGGATCCTTTCTTTTTTTTTTTTTTTTATCTTAACCATTGATTTTTTAGAGGCCTTTAACTTTCATTTCGGTGCAGATGTCTGCTACATCTTCAACTGTGACTCTTCTCTGACCCTAAGTTGTCTCACAATCAACTTGATTAAACTGTGCTTTTCCTTTTACTACCCCCAATCCTCACAAACAAACAAACAAACACAGGTCCTTTTGCAAAACTGTTCTTTGTAAAACAGCCTCATCACTTCTTGAGTACAGGCCTAAAATCTGGGCATTACTGAGACTCTCTTAGATACCTATTTCCTTTGCCAGATTGCCTTTCTTGGCTGCTGCTCTAATTTATATCCTTTCCACTTCCAAAGCCATCTTCCTAGTTCTGTCCCCCATTATGTATCGCTTATATCACTACAGTGCACCACTACAGAAGTGGGTATTCCTGCCAGTCCTTCCTTCCTGCCAGCAAGGAATGGTGGATAGAAGAGCAGCTCTGCAGTGTCAATCTGCATTGATTTCCACTCCTTAATCTCTTAAGAGTCTTTTAGTCTTCTGCCTGTAAAGACAACAAATATCAGTACCTGCCTGGCACACGGTATGCGCTCAATTATTAGTTCCTTTCTATTTCAAATTCAGACTTCTTGGTCATATCCTTTCCTCTCTCTTTTCTACAGAAATAAGAACAAGCTCCTCAGGTGGCATGGTGGTGCACACCTGTAATCCTAGCACTCTTGGAGGCTGAGGCAGGAGGATCACAAGTTAAGAGACCAGCCTGGGCAATTTAGTGACTTAGACCCCACCTCAGAATAAAAAATAACAAGGGCTGGGGGTGTAGCTCAATGTGAAGGCTCTGGGTTCAGTCCCCAGGACCACACACACAGGCCCCTCATTCTAGCCCTTGAGCACCTCCGCCAATACGGCTTCAGTGTGTTGCTTCCCTTTCACTGTTCATAACTCTTTCAAGTCCATTATTCTGTTTCCAACTGTTTCTTCACTGACCTGAGGGGCCTGGCTGTCCTGCACCACCTGCTTCAGTCTGCTGAAACCCTCACTCTCCTTTAAAACTCATTTCACATTCTTCCTCTGCTCCAAGGTCACTCCCGATCTCTCCATGGACAGAACTCTCCCTCTGGCCTCCACACACTTACACCTCTCCTGCGGCATTTCTGTGATTCTCCTCGCTCATTTCTGCCTTTGACTTCCCTTCAGTGCGGGACTGGGTGTCCCTTGATGGCGTGGACTGTTACAGCACCAAGCCCAGCCAGAGCTCTGTACCTTATGCAATAAATGCCTGACACTGAAAACAGACCTGCCCAGTCACGCTTTCCTGACTCTACTAAACCATCTTCTCTCCTGAGCCTCTGCTGGGTGTCACCCTTTCCAGAAATAAAACTGCACAGGGAAGCAAATCTGTTTCTCAGTGAAAGGCATTCTCTGACACCAAATTCTGGATCTCACAGTTATACGAAAGGGTTCCCAATATGCTGTGCTGCCGTTCCATTAGACTCGATGTACTATTTTCATGAATCCTTGGATACTTCTTTGAAATCACAAGTGGACTTTGTTTACCGTCCAGCTCTGCAAGTTGTGCTTGTCTCATGTAGAGATATTGTGGTCACACAAATAGATCCCTGAGAACATCTAAATTTCTTCTTTCTTGTTCATGAACTAGGCTCTTTAACACTGACAGTCAATGGCTATGCAGAAAAGGAACTTAGATAAAATATTAAGCTTTGGTAAATAATTAAGCTTTAGTAAAATGAGAAATAGGAGTCCACTGAACAATATGCTAGCATCTTAAAGTTCTCTATAGTTATTAAAATTAAAGTGTGTGCAAACAACATATGTATTTCAGGATTCTAAGGTTGGAAATGGGTTTATATATCCCTATATCACTATATAGGGATTATGGGAGTTCTACTGGCAATACTATCACAAAGTATAATTTTCAAAAACTTAAAAAACATAACTCATAAAAAAAGCCAAAGATTTTAACTGAATAAATGAGGAAATCTGGAAGTTTAGAGTGGTCGAAAAGAAAACCAAACACTTAGAGATTTACAGTTGAATGGTTAAAGGAATGGAGAAATAAATTTGCCAAGAAATGCCAAATGACAAAAGAGTGTGCATGGCAATACCCTTACAATGCTATCGGACAAGAATCTTTTGTGTTGTCATACTTTTCTACAAGTTAACCTCTGTTACACCACTGAAAAACACCGTTCCTCATCAGCCAGCAAAAGGTACATTCGACTACTTCACCACATCTAATTCTACACAGAGAGATTATCAAATATTGTTTTACCCATTTTTAAATTTTGCATACTTGTGCTGGACACTGTTACTTAGGACAGTTATTAAAACAAACCATTTGCTTTTTCCTGTATTTTTAGGTGCACGAAGGCGATGCAGTGCAGTTTCCCACAACCTGCCCGTCACCGCCCTTTTACCAGGGACTCTGCATCCACTTGGGTTTCAGGTATAGTTCCACCGTTTACTATCGGGTGACCCTGGGCAAATTACTTAACCTCTCTGCTTCTCAGCTTCATCACTGTAACAGAGGATTACATAATAATGCCTTTGTGGCTCTGTTACGAGGATTACATGAAATAATGCACAAGTGCTCAATAAATGTGAGTCATATTACCACTACGAGGAAGAGGTTCATTAGCCTGCCAGTCTTTATTTACACATGAGAACATTTTGAGAAATAACCTGTTTTACATCTTATTAAAAAGGGATATAGATTTCACTTTATAGCAGAAGTGACAATCATTAAATCACTGAAAAGAGCCAATTCATAAATAAACTTACGAAATGACAATAAGTCCCAGAGGTGTCAAAAGGACAATTCACTTCTTCAAACTTTGATGTTAATGAAACAAAAATGTACATGGCAGGGGTGGCAGAGAATTAACTTTCGTTAAGATGGCACAGGCTTTGAGGTTGCCACACACTTATTACATATCAATAAATGAGCATTTTCCAAAGAACAGGTTTCTTTTTTTCTTAGGAGACATGCTATAGAATGAAAAGGGAAATACACTGATGCCTCAGAAGGTGGGTTATCAGCAAGTCAAATAGCAGAAGCAGAGGTTCAAGAGGCCTTTCAGCCTTAATCATTTATTCTGCATAATGAAAAAGAAAAAAATTAAATATTCTCTGTATTTAAATGTTTACCAATACATCGCTTAAAACATGTACTCTTCCGCTACACATTGTTACAGCTTACTTTGTCCTGAAGATGGGAAGAAAAATACTGAATATATATTTTATTAAATTCATACACACTTGTTACAGATAGATATTTTTTAATTTTATCTCCCTCCCAAGCCAACTGTGGTTTACACAATCATAAATTAAAAAAAGAAAAAAATTCCAGAAGTATGGTATAGAACACCAAGAATCTGATGGTAAAGATGGGAATTAAGTACTGAAATTCAGCCCCAGACAGGAAGAAGCTGTAAACCAAATCAGAAAGCCAAATAATAAAGAATAACAATTCATGTCAAAGCTTGACTACATTTTAATCTACTTACACCTGAGAAAGAATTTTCCTAAAGTGTTGGTTTGAAAGGGGACTTGTCTAGATGAAAACTGAACACAAACAAGAATTTCCCTAAAGAAGTTCTCTGAGCCAAAGGAAAAATCAAATTACACTTGAAAAACAAAAGCAAAGACCAGTAGTTCATGTCTCCCCCGCCCCCCTCCCACTTCTTCAGATTTGCTTTATGGAAGGTTTTCCTGTGTCATTTATCAGGGCATTTATTAGTTCTACAATGCTATTGCAACATGACCAAATCTGGACTTAATCCTTCCTGTCCTAATGAGTTGATGAATGAGGTGATTATTTTCAGTCCTTCATGAGCTAAGAATTTAAACTGCATCCTGGAAGCATTCAAACACCTATAGATGGAGTTTATTAAGTGTCACACTTAAAGAAAGTGTTACGCAGTGCCTAAAGGACATTTATGGCCACTACAGATTGCCTTAGTTTTTTGTTGTTGTTGTTGTTTTTCCGGTACTGGGAATCGAACTCATGACCTCGTGCTTGCCAGGCAGGCGCTGTGCTGCTGAGCTAAATCCTCAGCCCCATGTCTTGTATAATTTAAAAGATTTATTAAGAGAGACACTATGATATAAACAAAATGATTTCTCACAGTACTTCAGATGTTCACCTTTTTATGCAAAAAACCTGCGAAATAGGCTGGCTGTTGTGTTGTGGCACACACCTACAATCCCAGCACTCCAGGAGGCTGAAGCTGGAGCCCAGCCTGGGCAACTTGCTGACTTATTGAGACCTTGTCTCAAAATAAAATATAAAAAGGGCTGAGGATGTAGTCAGTGTGAAGGCCTTGGGTTCAATCCCCAGTACTGCAAAAACCAAACCAAAATGACAAAAGCCAAAACCAAAATGGAACAAGTTTGATCTAGCATTTAAAAAGGGTTTTTAAAAAGCCACACAGAAGTTCATCAATTAACCAGATATTTACTGTTTTGAAAGCAAAGGAAAGTTAGCAAAATGTTAGAAAGTCATCATTTTGTAATGTATGCCTCTCTAGTTCTTTTACCAAACAACCTTATTAGATTGTAAAAATTCATTTAAAAATTTGAGAAAATCAAATAGTTATGGATGTAGGACAAGCTCTCCACAACTAGAAATACATTAAAATATACTTATTTAGTTGGAAAAGGAAGTGGCAGTGAGAATCCTTCACCTATTCTATTTTAGAGTTCACTGGAAAAGGATCATAATTCAGACACATACAAGACAGTGCACCTTCTTCATGTCCAGTAGGCACAACAGCAAAGCGCAGATTTTGATAAGTGAGGGACATTAGAAATAAATGCATTTAAGTGTTATCTACGTTTCACTAGGTAACGAAGACTGTTTAAAATGGTATATTTGAGAAGAGCTTAGTTTTGACAACTAAACTATGAATGTAGTTCCCATTGCAGAATGTGCTGTTAAGATTTTTTATGTAATGAAACAGCAATAGGAGACAAGTGGAAATATACAAGAAGAAAAGAAAAAAAAAGGGATCACATACTGCAAGCAGAAATACTAGACTAGGATGAAGGAACATAATAATCATTACCATTTGAAGTGGTATATCTATTTTAATGTACTACGATTGAACTCTTCAATAAACTATGAACTATGATTGAACTCTTCAATAAAATAATAAATTAAAAAATGAATATTAATATTTACATTGTAATCACTCAGAAGTTTTGTTTCCTATTCTGGGGGCATATTTTTACCTCTGGGACAAAATCAGCAGCCTCATCTTTGATTCACCTTAGACTAATGTTTGTCATTGTCCTTATTCTCCATGACACCTTACAGCAGTGATGGTGAACCTCTTAGAGCTTTAAATGATACCAAGAGCCCACCGTGGAACCCATGCCATGCCATAGGTTCAGCTCCACTCTTACAGGGTTCTGTGATAACTGATCTGGTTCTTGATACCCCTCAATTCATTTTTATAGTACCCTTGTATAGAGTTTTAAACACTTCAGATTTTGTTTGGCAAAAGCTGAGCAAGCAATGCACACTGAGCTTCATCCCCAGCACGGGAGTCCAAAAATCCGTGTATCCACAGCTGACACTCTTAACATAGTTTGGCTTTCCCTATACGAGGGCTCTGGATCCATGGGTTTACCACCCATTGAGGACTGAAAACATCTGAGGAAAAACTTCCACTTGTATTGAATATGTATAGACTTTTTCTTGTCATTATCCCCTAAACATTACAGTGTAAGTACTTACATAGAATTTACATTGTATTACGTATTGTAAGTCATCTAGAGATGATTTAACATATACAGGAGGATATGTGTAGGTTATACGCAAACACTATGACATTTTACTTTAGGGATTTGAGCATCTGCACATTTTGGTACCATGGGAGGGCCCTGGAACCAATCCTCCATGGACACTGACAGACAACGATACGGTTAAGTGCCAATAAATCGAGATGCCAATACGGGAGGTTCAGTTACGGTACTTTTGTTAAAGGTGACGACAAGTTTTTGTTATAAGGTCCACTGTCTCGGTAGTGTGACAAACCAAAAAACAGCTGACACTGATGAAATGCTAACTATGTGATAAGCTAGCAGAATTCATGCCTACATCAAAATTTTGAGGTAGAAAATTTACTGCTCATTACTCAACATGTAACAGCTATGTTAATGTTTAAGTATCCAAGTTAAAAAACTGCACAAAGATGCTATGAATGTCTTGTATATATACTTCAGTAAAAGGCCACCTTAAATCAATCAGGAGATTTAGAATGAGATTAGTTTCTTTATGGATTTTTAAATATATATATATATATGTATTTCTTCTGAATTTTATATACTGTGCACTGATCTTCCATTTATCTGCAACCCTTCTATCTCAACACAAAGGGAAGACAAGGAAATCTTGAAAGTTTTGTGGGTTACTCATTTGCTTGTGTTTGAATCCTCACACAGGGAGGCAGAGGTGCTCTGGACAGGGACAGGAGGACAGGGAGACACAGAGGACGTAGTATGGTGTCTTGGGCTCATGAAGAGACAGGAAAAGAGGAGATTTTGTGAGACTGTAACTAGTCACTTGGGCTTAGAAATCTTTGAGATGTAGGAGGCTGAACATCGGTAAAAACAGAATTCTAAGGGCTCCTTCACCTATACCACCAAATTTTGTGAATTAGTAATTCATTGCATTTGTAACAAAGGGACATGGAGATGCTTTTGGACAACCAAGTTGTAATATGTATGACAGGTATTTGGGTGAGCCTAGTCATCCAGTTTTAGAGGTGGCTGTCCCTCCTCGCTTCAAAACAGTCTTCAATAAATACTTGCAGAAGCACTGCCTGATCCTGACGCATCTCATTTAAAAATGGAATGCAGCAATCTGCCAGGGACACTGGGGGGTGGGCAGAGAGTGGGCAAGCAAAAGTTAAAAAGATAGCTAAACACAATGTTCAGAGAGGAATCTCAGCTTCTGGTCCACCGACCTTGGAGCGCAAACCATTAAAAGCACTGGAAAAGAATGAATCACTGAACAAAGAATTAATAATGACAGTACGGCTGGCAGAGAACAGTTGAAAAGCAGTCATCAATGAGCAAACAGACAGCACTGTTCACTTTTTCCCTTTCCCTTTAGACACCACTTCTGCGTAAGTGGTGTGAATGAAGTCATACAGCTGCTTAGCATTTGCGGCATGCCCCAGAATACCTGTGAGCTTGTCTTGTGATAGGGTTGCTAATTCTGCAATGTTCTTAACGTGGTTCATCAAGGAGTGACAGTTTTTGGCATTTACCCCTGGCATTTTTAACAAGAAGTCCTGGGGACCAGGATTGTATTTTTCTGACTCAGGCAGGGCTTCAGAATCTGCTGTAATGGCCATGGCTGTGGCGGCATCAGGCTGTGGCTTATTCTGTTTCAGTTCCTCAAACAGCTCTGCTGTTGCATGAGGGGAAGGGCACCAGAGAAGGCGGAGTCTGGGGAAGTGAAGTGTGAGAAGGGTGAGCTTGGAACTAACGTCGTTGCTGGAAATCTCCTGGAATAAGGCACCTCGGGCTGTGAGAGAGAAGGGCTTACTGGGGTCAAACTCAATCAGAAGCACAGGGCGCTTGTAATAGCGGGACATGGAGATGCACTGGCTGTACAGGCGGCCGTTATTCAGAGAGCCAATCAAGTCACTGATGCTCTTGCGCTCCACGCACATTTCTGGCGTCAGGATGTAATCGCCAACCTCTAACGTCACAGGTTCAATGTCAATGCCCCGGCGGTGGATCAGAGATGGGAGCTCACTTCGGAATTCACGCATGTCCACGACTATACTTTGCTGTGTTCCATTCTGTTCCTGGCCGCCTATTTAAAAGAGTATCGCTTTGAGTCATACCACTGGGAAAGAATTCCCAAAGCTAAAAGTTTAAAATCGGTGTTTCTGTTGTTAACCTCTGATGGATGGACACATAAGACTGCATGGTAGTATTCTCTCTTTTTGAAAAGTATTTATAGAAAGCAGAGGGAAATTACCTCTGCTTAAATTAAATAGAACCAATAGAAACTCAGAATCTATTGGTAGTTCCTTACATGCAGTGACTCATAAGTACAAAACATTTGCTCTGCTCTGCTTTCTGTGGTCCCTCTGTTACACTGACCGTATCTGTGTTGATCACTGTAGTTTTCAGTCCTACGACAGAGACCCACACACAGTACGTGCTTACTACGCTCACTCAGCAAGTTACCTTAGCAGTTGCTGTAATCATCTCATTGAGTCAAGAGATGGGAAAAGACAAAACTGGGGGGAAACCAGGATATGCATAGAAACTATGTAAGACTGCGTTAGAAAGCAGACTCTGTATTCAACAGGTCTAGGATATAAAGAACACATCAGTAGGTCTGAGGAGTCTAAGACTGCATTTCTAGCAGTGTCATGTGATGCTAATACAGATGGTTGAAAGATGACACGTTTAAACAGCAAGAGGAGTTGCAGGCAGAATTAGGGCTCCTAAAGATGCTCATGCTCCAATCCTCGCAACATATAAATATTACTTGACATGGAAAGAGGGACTCTGTGACTGTGAATAAGTTCGGTATTTTGAGGTTGGGAGATTATCCTGGGTTTTCTGGGTAGGCCTCAGGGGAAAGTCACTACCTTATTGCCTTTGAAGGTGGAGGAAGGGGCCATGAGCTGAGGAATGCAGGTGGCTTCTAGCACTGGAAAAAACAGGGAGGAGGAGTCTTCCCTGTGCCCCTTGGATGGAATACAGGGCTGCTGATACCTTGATGTTAGTCTAATGAAACCCATTTGGAATTCCGGCCTCCCTGCAGGAACTGTGACATAATACATGTATCCTATTTCAAGCCACCAAATTTGTAGTGATTTTTAACAAGCAGCTCTAGGAACCTTACACAAAGGCTTTGAGGACTGACCTAAAAAGGGCATATTTCTACAAAGAGCTTCCCGTGTGATATCTGCATGCTCAAATCTATTTTCCTTCATACTGCTTTATATTCTGCAGTTCTTCATAAAATGGTACCGACTTATTTGAGCTGTTAAGAATCTTCTTCAAAAAAGACAGATACCCTGAGGTAGTGTTTCCTCAAATATGATCCAAGGACTATCACTTCTATCAGAAGCCCAAGATGTTGACTCTAACTCACAACCACTGAATCAGAATTCCTATAGATGAGGCCTACGAATCCACAGGTTAAAAACATCTGAAGTTACTGTTAAGTCTACTAAATTTTAAGACCCAGTGCTCTAACTGTACTCAATCTCACCAATGACGATATCAATTCCATCATATTGCCTTTCTCATGCTGCTTGGCGATATCAGTTGCTGCCACGGAAAAACTGCAATTTGGGGAGTGGGAAAATGGTTACTTCTGGTTCACAGCACACTTGGAATGCAGCAGGTCTTGGTGGCATGCTGTAGTTTGAATATCACACAGCGCAGAGGTGGCCAGATAACTGAGATCAAAAGGAACACTGAGTAACAAGTGAATGCAGAAAGAATGGGAGTGTATACACCCCCATAATTTGCCACCTATGTGTACACCTAAGAGGGGAGGTAGAAGGAAACATAACTTCTTTTAGCTACTCAATGAATCGACTGGCCTCGTCAGCATTTACCAAAGTTTTTTTGGAAAAGTACATTCTGAGTCTCAACTAACCGATTTTAAATCCACCAGAGGAATATAACTCATTCTAAGCTGGGGTACCTAGAACTCAACCCCACTCATTTTACAAATGACACAGTGCCTTCGCTCTGGAGATGACGCATGGTTAGGAAACGGCAGAGCTGAGGCTGGAGTTTGGGCAGACAAACTCCATTTTTGAGTTTGGTAGGAAAAACCAACTTTCTGCAGAGTAACTGTGGTGCCTCCCAGCCTCTTGCTGGCAACAGGGGCTTCTGGCCGAGGGCAGCACTCACCGGCTTTGCGGGTGTCAGTAACAGCCTGTGTCAATGCTGTGCCTCTTGCTAAGTCCAGGTTGGTTTCGTCTCTGCCTTCTCTTTCTTCAGGGACAACCATGCTAGCCTTTTCCCTGTGTGAGAAAACATTTTCCACATTTCAGGAGGATCAACTTCAAAATTATAGATTTTAATCTTTTGAAAATTCTAGTACCTAAAATGATCTACATGGCTATAGTGGTAAAGAGAACCTAAAAATTAAATTACATTTAAATATGTAAAGACAAGTGACAAGTACTAGAGGCACAATTTTTGCTAAATTGCCCATGGTGGGCTCAAATTTGTAATCCTCCTGCCTCAGTGTCCCTCACTGCTGGGATTACGGGCATGAGCCACCATGCCCAGCTACTCAAACATTTATTTGAAAAATATTTAGAGTGCTCCTGTATGCTGTGCTAGGTACTCTAGATATAAACAGGATCATGTAACAATTCCTATCTTCAAGGTAGCTCAGTATCTTATACCTTGTAGATCTTGAGAACCCAGTAATCATAATTAAGATTTGCAATTTAGAGCTGTGTCATGAAGAGCTCCTGAGTAATAAAGCTGTTACTCCTGAGTAATAAAGTATAGTAATAAAGCTATTACTACACTTTTAATATGGTAATCTAATTATTCAAGATTATGCTAAAAAACTGAAAATAAGCTTTCTCCTTTTTTTTTTTTTTTAGGTACTGGAGATTGAACCCAGGGCTTTTAACATGGTAGCCAAGTATTCTACCCCTGAGCTAAATCCCAGCCCTTTAAAATTTTTTTAAATTTAACTTTTAAGGCTGGGGATTTAGCTCAGTGGCAAAAGCGCCTGCCTGGCAAGCGCAAGGTCGTGAGTTCGGGTCCCGGTACCGGAGTAAAACAAAACAAAACAGAACAAAATAAAGAGTTCTCTGTAAATTTAACTTTTAAGCTGCTCAGGCTGGACTTGAACTCATGATATTCCTGCCTCAGCCTCCTGAGTAGCTGGGGTTACAGGCATGTGGGCACCACACCTGGCCTGATGATAGGTTTTCAAATGATTTCACAATGGCTTCCATTTCTGAGAAATATACTCCAGAAATGAAACTGTAACTAGTAACTCAAATTAATTTTATAGAAAATATAAATATTCAGTCCCTTGCCTTCACCATTTAGCATAACTGTTGATGTTTTTTTATGTAACAAACACAAAATAACAAAAAATCAGATTCCTATTTCCACTTAATCTCAAGTACTGAGGTTTCCTATTTTTGCTTTAGTATTTTTAACATCTTCATACCCTGTGCAACATTACAATGTAGGAAGAAGGTGCTGTGTCACAAGTTTCTTCAAATGGGCATTTCTTCAAGCCTTGGTAACCTGTTTTGTGATGATAAAAATACCCTTTCCTTTGAAAAGCAGTGACTTTTAAGACTATATGGTGCCGAGGGTCTTAGAACTCATTTTTCTGCCAAAGGAGCACTTCATTACCAATTCTTAGTGTGTAGCCTTTTTTTCTCTTGTCATCTGTAACATACTGATCTTTAATTCATCTAAATACTTGGTTCTCCGCTGACTCATCCCATTCTGGTTATCTTAAACGGTAGTGCAGTGTCTGCTCTGACATCACTTATGGGGGTCTTGGCAAAACATCTTATTTTTAGCAACGTTCTTTCAGCAACGAACCTCAAAAATTATTCTGTGTTTCAAAACAAACACCTCTCAAATTCCCCATACTGTCTGGGAAACTAAGTATCTTAAATTCTAAATAGTGCAACCACCTGACTGCTGTGTAAAACGGAAGATTTATGATATTTATAATAAGTAGGCAATCACCACTGTGAGAGTTTAGGAAAAATTATGCCAGACCTTGGAGAGAATTGCATAACCTGGAGAGGAAATGCTGTTTTGGCTGAAATGGGGGTAAGAGTCCATGATCCCAGTTCTGCTGAGTGAGGTTTCCATATGTGCAGGGCTTACCCATGTGCTATTTCTCTTTCGATATACAGAATCGTTTATAAAAAACAGGAGCAGCATGGGGTCCACAACACTTTAGCACTATTTACTCAAGTACTCTCTTCTACACTGGACTCCCTGATGTACCAGGAAAATGCAGATGTATGAGGAAAGTATGGAACATAAACCCCACTCCTTCCAATGATGCCCTCCTCACAGTCTAACACCTGCTTTGGCTACAACCCTGTGCGGGGAAACGGTTAACTCAGCAAGCCAGAGTTGCTCAAGCTCTGCACATTTCCAAGAAAGGCCTGGCTCTTTGGGACTGACGCATGGCCAGCTCTTAGGAGATAAGCTATGAGCCTATGGAGAACTGTGCCTGGTTAGAGGGTTTCTGTATGCCTGAGGCCTTTGGCCTGTGTACCACTTAAGATTACAGAGCTGATGCTAACAGTGTGATTTAGGGTACATACTGACTTTGGTCTGGGGGGCTGAATCTAAGTGGCTGTAGTTGGTCACATGGATAGTCTTTCTGTGTGACTGAGCCCAACAAAAACTGCACATGCAGGCTCAGATGAGTTTCCTTGTTGCCAAAATTTGGTGGGCAAAGTTAGGTACATTTGTGCGACTCTACCTGGCGAGGACATTTGGAAGCTGATGTTGGTTTTTCCTGGGCTTCCTCCACATGCCTCTTCCCTTTGTTGATTTTAATTTCACTCCTTTTACTTTAATAAACTATACTGTGAGGAGATTTTCTGACCGCTGTGACTCACCTTCTAGTGAGTCTTGGAGTCTCGACATGAACACCAGTAAACAGTATTCTAGTTCTATGTGTCCACTTGTAATTTGGCCACAATTATTTTAACCAGAGAAAACTTAGTCAAAAGTGGTTTTAAAAATAGTAAAAAAATGTTTAAGAGGTACTAGCCGTGTGCAATGTCACCAGTTCTTTGCTTTTATCTCCTGAACATCTCTTGAATCTGTCCTCTCCTCTCTCCATCTCTCCTCTCACCTAATTTTGGCTACCACCTTCTCTGATCAGACAAGCGTAAGAGCCTTCTGAGTAGTATCCAAATTTTTCCATTTGCTTTATGACAGAGAAGGCCTATAAAAGTGCAATTAAGTCACATTTCTGCTTAGAATGCTACGATCCTATCCTGTTGCCCTTGAAGCCTTAAATCCTTGACAGGGTCTTTTATATTCCTGAACCTTCTCTCATACCTTTGTTCAGCACAACCGCTCATTGGCCCCATCTGCCTGGCAGCTCTTGCACATTTTTCCAAGTGCCAGCTTAAATACCGCTTCCTCCATGAAGCTATTCCTGATCAGCTTGTGGCCTGGGATGAATTTTTTTTTAACACACTCTCCTATTACACCTTTTTCTCTTACCTTTGCTGTCATCTGAATGCTCCTATTTATTACATTATTTATATTATTTAGTGTCTCCCTATTCCACTAATGGAAAGCTTCAGTAGAGCAGATGCTTTTTGTACCCACAGTAACCTTAGCACTTTAATATCTATTCTGGACCAGGGATAGAGTGGGCGCTTCACAAATATCTACTGTTTCAGCCTTGGAGGGTGAAGGTCTAGAAGACACAGTAAGACAGAGGGTTCTAAGAGCTTTGAACAATAAGGGGTAGTCTCTGTTATAACTGCTGTGTTATAACACTATTAGTAAAATGTTTTTCAAAAATATATGTACATGCTCATATCCCATATAGATAATTCCATGGAGGGCATTGTAGAAAATATATTTTCATAGGCTTAGAGGAAATTACTGTATGACCAGCTGCTGGAAGAATTTATGGCTGAGGCATGTCACGATTCTAGAAGATTAAAAGGGAAGAGAAGTGTGCTACCAGCACACCACGCTGAGCCTGAGAGGGACTTGATGGCACTGGCTCCGGGTTTACTGAGCCACTGTTATACGTAGCAATGCTTGCTCTCAAGTAACCAGGACATACACATATTTTACACAGTGCTGAAAACCCACAGGCAGTATGGTAGGATGATGGTCCATTTGGAAATTCTGTCTAGCACCCTGGCAGGCTGCTGCCACTACAAAGAATTTTTGCCCTCTTGCTGCAACTGGTGCATTGGCAATGTCCGTGGCATGGAAGACTGGTCTGGCTCAGTCATACTCAGTCCAGGCCATGGTCTCCTCAGGTTTAGCTTTTCTCTAGCTCAGTGACGTCTGATTCAGCCCTGGCCTGGGTCCTGAGTCCCTCTGGAGGACATCTGGTCCATCCTCCCTCGCCACTGTAGTCTTTTGATAGTGTTGCAGGAGGGTGGCCATCAGATTTCTTGACTGCATTCAGGAGTAAGAGGCAGCCAGGCAGTCTGTGACTATTTCACATATACTTCCCTTATGTTAAACTGAAAAGCACTTGGAACATTACCAGATAACCATTCTCAGATCATACAAGTACATTCAAACAGTACACTTTTAAAAAATGTTTTTGCAGAGTGACTCTACTGATGGTGATCAGAACCGGTTAGTTATAAAAGTATTTTCTGGCAAGTAGTAAAGTAGTCACTGTCCAGTAGTTTGCAGACAGTGGAAATTTTATGCAGACGAAAAAAATCCTAATTCAAAGTGAAGGGAGGAATCAGCATGGAGATTCCTCAAAAAACTACAATTAGAGGTTCTTTCTGATTCAGCTGTCCCTTTCTAGTTACCTTTCCAAAAGACTTAAAGTCATCATACCACAGTAATACATGTACACCCATGTTTATAGCAGCACAACTTATAATAGCTAAACCTTAGGAACAGCCCATAAGCCCATCAACAGATGAATGGATAAAGAAAATATGGTACTACTCTGTCATAAAGAAGAATAAATGTGAGGCACTTCTAGGTATATGGATGCACCTAAGCCCATGAACTTAAGTGAAATGTATCAGACACAAGTTTAAATATTGCACTGTTTCTCTTGTGTGAGAAACCAAAGTATACATTAGGAGCAAATTAGAAGAGAGTCACTAGGAAGAAAAAGAACTTTTTCATATGGGAAGGAAAACAAATGGGAAGGAGATGGGGTAGAGGGGAGTGGAAGAAAGGAAAAAGGATTTAAAGAAAAAGTTGAAGGAAAAAATGGAACTAGAGAGTTTGCAAATGGGGAGAGGAAAATGATTGAAAAAAACAATTAAGATGTGTAATATACATGTACACATTCCCCATGATGTAATCATTATGTACTGTAAACTTGTACTAATAAAGAAAAAGTGAAAACTAAAGCAATGAACAGAAAATGGAGAGGGTAGGAGGAGAGGAGTGAACAAAACCCGTGTGCAAGGTACAAGCTGGGGAAAAATCAGACCACAGCTGGCCTTGATGGAACCCTTACCCAATTTCCTCCCTCCCCATCTTTCCTGAGGGCTGTTAGTTATTTCCCTACCCACAGAAGCCTGGACTTTGAAAGGACTTCGCTCTAGTGCTTCTCATACTGATCTTCTATTTATTACCTTATGAGCTTTTCAAAAGCTTCCTTTTCTTTCCTCAGAGCAGTGAGATAACGTTGTTCCTCTGTTGATCCACCATATATAAGAAAGTAAACCCTGCAAGTTGAGACAGAACTCTTTTAGGTTGCAAAAACATAAATTTTTAATCCCTGAAAGGAACAACAGGACATTTGAAATCAGCAACCTAGAGTGCTCAAATAATGTTTAACTAAGAATAAAAGGTTCCATCTACCATACAACTTACTCAAATTAAGCTGCCTAAGCCCCACCTGTTACACGTCTCATTACCTAATGAGTTTGGCTTTTTCCCTTTCTTTCATCAGAGAGGGGAACAGAGTTTAGGTAAATACTGAAATTTAACTACAGGGATAAAATAATTCTTTCCGTGTAACTATGAACAAATGAAAAAATACAAAATCTTAGAGCCTCTTTTTTTCCAAATTTTTCTTTGCACCTCTGCCAAACAACTGCTTAAAAAGTTGGATAGCAGTTATAAAAACCAGTTTATGAAAGTTCATGTTAGTGAAAAATAAATGAAATCTATATGACCTTTACCTGCATAATACTTTCTCAGTTCTTTGTTCATGCCTTAACAGAATGGAGCCATCAGACATTTTCTATAAAGATGCACACAGAGAATACATAAGGACTGTATCAGGCATCTCAAAAATACTTTGATATATCTGCTTTTAAAAGACCTGCTTTTGTATTTTGTTGGTGCTGAATTAGGCATCTCTGTGGTATACTGTCTTTATCTTTTATAAGAGGTATTTTCCTTAAAGCCTCAATTTTTCTTTGAGCTTTTATCTTCCTAGATTCTATTTCTTTGAAGTGGAACACGGAAAAGATCATTGGGTAATGAATTAAGAGTCCTCAGCTCTTCCACAAATTTGCTACATGGCTCAGGTCAAGTCATTCACCATTTCTGGGTCTCAGTTTCCCATGGACACAGTGAGGGGTTGAAGTTCCAGGTCCCTTCTGCTCCTGACATTTGGATTCCAAACAGTACACTAGTCTGTTCTCAGGCAAGAAGCCTGGAGTACACAAGCTATCTACAAAGTTGATCGATAGCAAAGTATGAAAAAACTTACCAGACTATAATTATTTTACCAGCTTCATCTAATCTCTTTATCTCTGCATTATTTCTGATCCAGCTCCTCCATTCATCTCTACTTTGAAAGGCTGCATTAGTTAAACTGTTAGAAAGGTTTCTTTTGGCTCAGCTTTTGGTTCAGATTGAGTTCAGGATATTAATTTTGCTGTTTATTTCCCTTCAGATAATTGGAGAGCCAGAACACTATATTCTTTGGGAGCCATCATTTTCTCATCTGATATTTCTGTAGATTTTTCATCTGATACTTTTCGAAACTGAGGAAAATTCAGTTCAGTAATTCCCCCAAAACACTTTAGTTTTATGTGCATAGAATTCAGGCACTTACTAAAATTTAGAAGACATTTTAGAAGATTAAAATTATGTAGCTAAGCCATAATTATATTAACTTTTGGTGGCACTTAGAATGTTATAAATTTCCTAGACTTTTCAGATACTGAACCCAGTAAGCCACAAATTAATATAAAAGTTAATTTATATCAACATATATGGTACAGAACAGTGGCAAAGATGCAATTACAAGTAGTCGATTAGTATGCTGTCTTGCTCTGACATTTCATACCTGTCCTGTACAACTCCTCAGATTCCACAGAAAGCAAAAGGTTCCATGAACCTAACCAGCATCATAACAATGGAATGCTTTTTGTTTTTTTTCCGGTACCGGGAATCGAACTCATGACCTCGCGCTTGCCAGGCAGGCACTGTGCCACTGAGCTAAATCCCCAGCCCCTAACAATGGACTGTTAAAGATAAGAAAATAGGCAACTGGGATGGTTTTTGCATTAAATCCTAAAGAAGTGTGAAAATGAAAGTGTCAAGAAACAGTTAATATTCTTTCTGACTTGCCTCAGAGGTTTCCCCGGCCTACTTGCCCTATAAATTTCAAGCTGACGAACAAATGTGAGCTCTGCATCATACAAAACCACATATCTTGGCTCCACTTCATGGAGAACCCTTGTCAGAGCATAGGGGTCGCTACAACCCAGAAGCGGATGGATGATGGTGAGGGGTTCTTTCAAGATTCCATAAGCAGCATCAGATGACAAATTTAAATCAAATTCTTCATGCTTAATTTCTTCCAAGCAGCTTTCTGGGCTACTGCTTATCTCTCTAGGATATCCTTCCTCAACATCCTCTTCCTCTTCCACTTCTTCAGATTTTCCTATCATCTGAGTTAGAGTCAACCTTCGTTTTTTCTTTTTGGGAATTCTTTCTTTGATAGAACCCCGTTCTTTCTGTTGGAGGTCTTTGGGCCTTTTGTTGGATTTCATCGTTCTCTTTGAACCCTCCTCCTTTCTAAATTTCATCCATACTTCCTCAGCTTTGCTGTCCTTCTCAAAGGTCTTCCTGTACAGCTGCAGTAAGAAGTCCTCTGCCCCGGTGGTGAGGTAGTCTTTCAGCTGGGAGCATGTGCGGTCATCACTTGCACAGATAAGAACTTGACCTACAATCAGAAAACAACGGTATGTTTCTGTGTCCCCTCATTTTTTTCTCCAAAGGCAAGACACTTATCCCTTGTAATTTATAAAATATTGTAACAGACTCATAGATGTTAATCACATGGTTTTACCTCTCTGGCACGATTACTTAAATGATTTTGTTTTGCTTTGTTTTGTGAGACAGGGTTGCTTCATGTAGTTCACACTGGCCTTGAGTTCACTATGTAGCCCAGGCTAGCCTCAACCTCCTAATGATCCTCCTGCCTCAGCCTCTTGAGTGCTGGGATTACAGGCATGTGCCAGCATGCCCGGCATTGAAATGTTTTGAGTAGTGCTGAAACCACAACTATTCATTCTTATGAAAGCAGAGCATAGTATAATGGAGGCTTTAACTCTTTTCAATTAGTATTTTCTAGAGGATCTTGTGCACCAAAATAAATTTCAAATGGATTGTAGAGTCAAATGTTAAATATTAAATTATAAAAAAGAAGCGACTGTTTTCCATTTCTCCAGATGAAGATGATTTTCTAGACTTAAAAGCAATGGAAGAACTCTCAGAGAAGGTTATATCTACACATCAAGATGGATGCTATGAGTATAAAAACTGCATTAAAAAACAGAAGACAAGAAACTTTAACAACTATGACAAATGTTAATATCTTTATTATAAAAGAGCCAATAAAACTGTAGTAAAAGTTTAAACTGGCCAAGACTAAGAAAAGTCACAAAAGAGGAATTGCATTTGAGAAACTATTACACTTAGTAATATGAAAATTTAAAATAAGACATTGTCTCCAAATTAAAACAACTGTTATATATGTTTTATACATGAAATATATGTACAAGGGCTGGGGATGGAGCCCAGCAGCACAGCACCTGCCTAGCAAGCACAAGGTCATGAGTTTGATTCCTGGTACCAAAACAAAAATTCCAGTCCATAAAATATATGTACAGACACTGTCAACCTCATCATAGCTATGTGGAAAAGAGGTAAGCTCTTATGTTACTAAAAGAAATGAAGATTAAAAACTTTATACAATACAGTAATACAGTAATGTCTCATGAGCTTTAAGAACATTAATAGCAGTTGGCTCATTAATTCTATGTCTACAAATTATTATCTATACTATGACTTTAGCAACTTGAAATAGAAAATATGTGAAAGAAAGCCTGGAAGGAAATATACCAACAACCAACTAGTGCTAGAAGTAATCTTTTCCTTCTCTCTTTGCTTCATCCTTTTCACTTTTTCCATGGTGAGCATGGATGATTTTATGTCTTAACCTTCAGTACCAGAGGTTCTGGGATATCACCAGTATATTTACTAATAGAAGGACTGAACACTTGCTTGGATTGCAAGAGTTCAAAAACTCAATTGGTATTTTTTAAAAATTAATTTTTCATCTGATTAATTTTTCACCTGATCTGTTTTAAATTTAATAGTTCAGGTTTAGTCTACTGTGCTAATCTACTAATATACCCATTTTAGAAGACGGCAGGCCTAAAATTTGCAATTTTTTTTGAGGGCTAGATCAGTGTCATTCCCTAGAAGAGTTTAAGCCCTGTGGAAAGATACTCGCTTAGAATATAAAACAGAAAACCCGTTAGCTTGCTCCTTAGGGACTCTAGATTAAACGCCTTGTGAATATATATGTGGAGATTAGGTGAATCTTTAAATTGGAGTCCTGAGAACCCAACTAGTAACCAAAACAAAACAAAAAACCCAAACAGCTTCATGAATACACAATGACTCAATCTGGAGAAAATCACATCAAATGAATAGAATTGAGGTTGCCACCAGAATCTGTGTTCACTTGGCATTTATTCACCTACATTTTATAAACAAAATAGGGAATTACTTTAAAGGAGCTAATCAAATTAAGGCTCATTTAAAAGCAAATGCCATTATCCATTTTTTTTTCCTACCTGGGCCACCAAGGGCTTCACTCTCCTTATTTTCTGCCTCAATTTCTTTCAGTACTTCAGTTAGTGCCTCCCACTTTGGGTTGCTTTCTAGGACCAGTTCCTTTTTCATTTCTGTATAGAGATGAAGGATGACAATATCAGCATCAGTCCACAGACCATTTCTTTGAGTTTTCTCAAGAATCTGCTTTCCTGAAAAAGGCATACTTATGGTGTAACAGAAAGGTACTTCAATTAGCATTGATATAGGTTACATGACGCCTTGATAGGAGATTATATGTATGGTAATTAAAAGATGACTTGGTGTTAAGTTTCCACAGAGACACTATGTCTAAGCTGCTATACAAGATAAAGGAATGAGTGAAAGCATTTACTATTTCTAAAATCTCCATGATTCTCACAATCGTAAACATGTATAAACAAGGCACAGATCACACTTTTATTTCTACAAGTACTCACATTAATATTTTTAAATAAGTTTTGAGGTAGAACTGTAAACTAGGCAGAAAAAACAACTATAACTGTATCCTATACCTTAAAAAATGAGTGACATTTGATATCTAAGTAGATAATGTTGAAATAAAATCAATAATTGCCTCATTCTAGTATATTTATGACCTTTAAAAGTTAAAAGGAATGTTAAGATGTTTCACTAAGACTTTGCCAAAAAAAGTTATTATTCCGAACTTTTGTAAAAAAATCAATTTAGATTGATATTTGACCTTTGAAATTTGGAATCCTCTGGCAATAGATTCCAAGAGTTGCCATAAAAAATACTTTTAATATATGTTACATATGTTACATAAAATGTTTAACATGTATCCGAAGGAAATTTTAAAGTACATTTTAACTCGATAAGTGTTTTCATAGCAAATACTTAAATCAAATATATATTTAAAGACTTAAGCCTACAAGATACCTTGTCCTTCCTTAATTTCCATTTTTTCAGACATTTTGCTTTTTTTACTCATTTTGGCATCTGGAATATGATAAACCCTTGCTCGAGCATTTACAAACATTGAGGTGCTGGAGTCAAGAAATAGCCAACCTAATATGAAAAGTAAAACACAAAACAAAAAACTCCTTTCAATTTATGGTTAATTTTAAATAATCTCTGATGGTCACATGATCTATATATACAACTGGTCACCATCTTGTTTCTTAGTAACCATACCTTCTCTTATTGTTGTGGTCTCTATGACCTTTTAGACTAGTGGTTTTCAAAGTGTGGCCCACGGTCTCCTGGGGGTTCCCATGATGCATTCAGGTGGTCTATGACATCACAACTTTTCTCATGCTAATACTATATTGGCCTTTTCACTGTGCTGACATTTCCAATGATGATGCAAAAGTACTATGGTGACTAACACTGCTGATGCCTTTGCATAAACCAAGACAGTGATATGAAAGTGTACTAGCAGTCAATGCATTCTTTACTATAGTGCATTTGGAGTTTATTACTTAAAAACATCCCTGAAGAATGTAAATATTAACTGCATTAAATCTTGAACTATATGGGGCAAGGGTCCTGGGTAGTGGGGGAAGGCCTCAGTTGGTTGGAAAATAAGATGGTGGCCAGTCACACATGTATATTTCCCTACAAATCTCTGCAGTCTTCAGTACTCGAGCTGATGAAACCTGTCCCTTGTTGTCTCCTTGGGAAAAATGAATTTTAAGGGCTGGGGATTTAGCTCAGTGACACAGTGCCTGCCTGGCAAGCTCAAGGTTGTGAGTTTGATTCCTG